TTCCCGCTGCCGGCGCCTTCCTTAAACCGCCTGTAAAACCCGTAAATCTTTGACATTGACCGCGAGTCCCCCTTACTGCTGCTCGTGCAATGTTACACCGTGTGTCAGCACCTTAATAATAATAATGATAATAATAATAATAATTATTATTATTATCAATTCATTCATTGAACTTTAAATCCTATAGTTTTTCATTTTATTTTTGTTTATCATTATCTTAAAATATTAAGCATTGGAACTTAAGTAGCTTTGGAGCGAGTATATTTCTATTTCTATTAAGACATGCATAGACTATTAAGGTTTATTTAAATAAAGTATCATTATTATTATTAAAATTAATTAATTCATTATTATGGCAGTGTATAACGCACGAATGCCTAGGTTACTGCAGTGACCGGGCGTGAGATCACGTGGCCAGTCACTGGAATCTCTTATTATTATCATCATCGCGTGCAATGTTGTGTGCAATGTTGCACCATGTGTCCGTACCTTAATAATAATCATCATCATCATCAACATCATCATTATCATCATTATCAACATCATCATCATCATCAACATCATCATCGACGTTTCCCAAAATCAGTGATATCATGTTTTGAACCTTATAGGATATTGTAGGGCTTTTAATTCGATTGACACAAAGTCGGTGATAGTTAGAAAGGTATCATCGTATCGATAGTTGCTTTAATTTTCTTTGAAAAGCACTTGAGATCGTCAAAATTCGACTGTTTGTTCCTCATAATTTTGTTTACGTTCCCTTTTATATTTCGGAACGGAATGCATTATTGTGTACAGGAACAAGTGTTCCTGTTGAACRAGAGCAATTAGGAACTCAAGCGTCGTTAACCAGAACAAAAGGTTCCCTTTTGTTGAAGACAGGAACGAAAAAGTTCCCATTCAATGTATAAAAGGAACAAATGGTCCTCATAGTTGTTCCTTTGTACACGGATCGTTCCTTTTCGCATACAAAGAGAACAACTGTTCCCTTGTTGAATTGTTCCTTTTTAAATAAAGGAACACTTAGTTCCGTTCTATGGCAATTAAKTGGTCCTTTATGAACCMAACAGGAACGTGCGTTCCTTATTTTGTACACCAACCGTTCTCAATTGCAAAGATGACAGTCTTAGTACTGATTGGGAAACAGGCATTGTAATGAACAAARCAGGAGTATTTCGYGCAAGCCCCGGCATGTATAGACAATACTGCGCATGTCAGGGCAGGCCCCAATCAATACAAAACGAGTCGAAACAAGCCCAGGCATGTACAGACAATACTGTGCATGTCTGGGCAAGTTCCAAACAAGGTTAAACAAGCCCGGGCATGTGCAGATAATGCTGGGCATGTCTGGGCAGGCTCAATCAATACCAAACGAGTTGAAACAAGCCCAGACATGTACAAACAATACTTTGCATGTCTGGGCAGGTTCCAAACAACGTTAAACATGTGAAGTGGTATTGCGTAACGTCAGKCAAAAAGAAAAAAGACCATTCGGGCAAGTTCAGGCAAGTTTAGGCATTACAATACAAGTAAAAAGGTGTGTTTGAAATATCATCATGCTTTCTCGTAGTAACCAATGTGTTTTACAATGTATTTTCCAATTCCGTTTGATCCCTAGAGATCAATGGGAGTCATAAAAGTAGTGATTACATTCAAATTGATATCTCAAATTCGGCGAAAGCAATCAGTTAGAAAAAACAATGAGTAAGCACAGTAGAGAAATCGATTGGTCGAAAGTCAACGGGGCATCGCCGAAACCGAAAAGACTACATCTAGAAGAAGGCGAAGAAGATGGGCTATTCCATTGTCCAGTGCCAACGTGCAATCATGATGCGTTTACCACTCAAAGAGGATGCAGGAAACATGTCAAAAAGAATCATCGTTGGTTTTATTTCTTTGACGAGAAACCCGACTCTTCTGAAATGACGTTCAATTCTGGTGATGAGGAAGTCAATACGACTCAAGTGATTCAAACACGCAAGAAATCCATGYCGTGCTTTGATATTTCAAGTACTCTTGGCAAAGAATTTGAGACATGGCTGATTGGCAGCGGTGGGGGATGCAAAACACACAGACAAGCTCAACAAATTATCCGAAAGAGTTTTAAGTATATGAAATTTTGTTGTGAAGACGACGACGAAGAAGACTTAAGCTGGGACCTAGTCGATTTCTGTTTGAGTTCACCCAGTTTCCTTTTCAAATTTGCCGATACTATGCAGACTGAATGGGGACTGGGTCATGCAGGTCGCCTTGGTTACTTGGACGCTATATCAGACTTGCTGGATTTCCGCAAGATCCACGGTACATCGTCCGATGCAGTTTCGCGAAATCTATCGTGCACAGAAACCTATTTGAAAAGGGCGCGCAAAACAGTGGCCAAAATGATGAGATTACAATGGACCAATGATCTAGACATTGAAACACTCGAGGCGAAGGGCCATTGGGCCACACTAGATGAATTGCTACAAGTGATCACCTATCACCTTCCGCGATACGAGAGCGTGCTTAAAGTGTGTCGAGAAACACCGCGGAACAAAGTAACCCCTTCAGACCTGTCATTTGCCACCAAGTTTGTGGCTGTGTATTTGTTCATCAAAGTCAAGGGTTCTCGTCCTATGACGTATCAGTACTTGACGGTAGAGATGATAGAATCGGYCAAAACCAATGGGGGTTTCATTGATCAGAAAAAGTTCAAGACTACAGCCAAGTATGGATTTGATTCATTGTACTTGACCGACACCAGTCTGCAAGTGTTGGATGGATACGTTCATGTCATACGACCTCATCTAAAACCGGTCTGCGAATACCTTCTCGTCACCAGAAACGGCAGTCAGCACAGTAAAATCGGACAACTGATGAGCAAACTAGTATTCGATGCCACTGGCAAGTACATTCATCCGACGCGATACCGTCAAATCGTCGAAACGGCCAGTCGGAAACACCTCGAAAGCAACGAACAATGCACGATTTCCGAAGATCAAAAGCACAGCTCTGTTGTAGCTAGGGTACATTATCAAAAACGAAGATCTCGCGAAGTTGCCACCAAGGCTCACGAATATCTGAAAAAGTTGCACGGAGAAAAAGGGACCGAGTTAACCAACGACGTTCGTTCGCGACTCTCAAACGATTTCACGAGCAATTCGCCCGGTCAAGATCCTCCCGTTGTTGTCGAAAAACCCAACTCCAACGAGCCGACTGTCCGCGTCGGAAATGTCGAAGTGAAAAACGACGTCGAGCCTGAACCTCCAAGATCTACTGATGACAAGCCAAAGAAAAGGAAACTGCTTCTCTTCACACCGATCGAAGATGAATTCTTAAAAGCAGGGATAAAACGATATGGCTATGGACAATGGTCGGCTATTTTGAGGGATCCTAGCTACAAGTTTCAAAAGGGACGAACAGCAAACTCGTTGTTAAATCGCGCTTTGCGAAAATTTAACTGAAATAAATAAACTTTATTGATTGTCAGTTTGAATCAATGTAGATCCTTTATTAGTGTTTTATTAGTATTATTTACTAGTCATTATCTAAGTTTCACTGTACTTTTATTTTGGTTTCATGAAATAACTCAATAGGGAAGTTATCCTGGGTCTCTTGGGGCTATTCCCGCTTGGCCTGGCCTCTTGAGCGTCTTCTTGGCGCCTTTTCATTCGGTCTATTATAAAACCCTCGTGTTCTTGAGATTGAGCGGTCAAAAGGGATTGACTTGGTACGTCGGCCGATCCCTTTTCGGTTTCGTCTACTCTCTCTTGTGGGGTGAATGGTAAAGCCTCATGCAATGAGGTAACCAGATGCTTCAKGTTATCTTCTAGTAGACCCCATTCGACACACTTTTTTCGCCTCTCCAAAACTGCTTTTTCGCACTTGAACAACTTTAGATTGGTGAARTGGGTTTTCAGCTTGTCACTCAAAATCTCCTGTAAACAATTTGTGGACTTCCGTTGGGTTGTGTTGGTTGGATCGGACTGCAGTTTTAAGACGCAGGCGTATAGTTTGCGCTCGGTTCTTTCCACCCATGGATTTTCAAAAGCGGTCTTTATCTTATTKTCTTCTTCTCGTTCTCTCTTCTCTAGCAATTTCTGGTGGATGGCTTCCAATTCTTGCTGGATTTGTGGGGGCATGGGTTCCATGTCATCTGCCGGAAGGAGATCTACGCTTTCCCTCGACACTCCTTTCGACTCTAGGATTTCCTGTCTTCGTCTGTATTCTCTTTCGTTGTGCTCCTTTTCTTCTCGCATCCTTTCAAAATGGCCCTAAGAGAATCGGAACAATTGGATATTGATCCATCAATAACATAAAAGAGTATGTAAGTTAAATAAACAGAAACATTCAACAAGTGGACGTGGTAACAGAAAAACAACCCAATAGCRACTAACCTGGAGAAGTTGCTGGAGCTGTCGATAACGCAGCGAATTCGAAGAACACTGTCTTAGTGTTTTCTTCAGAGCGCGGACCATACTTTTATCTTTCTCAGAGTCTTCTTGAAACTCTCCTGACAGCAATAAATCCTGTGTTTCGTCGTCGTCGTCGTCCTCCTCCTCCTCCTCCTCCTCCTCCTCGCCGCTCTCGTTAATCTCGTCATCGCCTTGTTGACGGCCAATCATCGGCGTGGTGTCATTTGTCAATACATCTTTGAAGACCAGTGATTTTAGAGCTTCTTTCTCAGACTCCTTGAGAAAACCATCCTGTGTATCAGACTCCTCCTGGTGTTCGCTCTCATCCGTGCCACTGTCCACCTCATCCTCTGCTTGGCGTGCTTTCGATGCCGCCCAAACTATGCACTCCATTGGATGTCTTTGGAGCCATTCTGCGGCTCGCTTCTTCAGTCGTGGAAGACTCTTGAACGTGTACGTCCTAAGTCTGCGCTCCATGGCTGGTTGATGTTCTGGTTCGAACTCGAGCTTGTTTTGGGCTGTAATGATCATGGGACATCGATTTATGAACGACTTGGCTGTTCGGTATTTCACGTCAWGCGCAGCGTAACCTCCCTGAGTGAGTATTTTCCAGTCATCGATGTCTAAGGTTGACGGCGTGGCTTCGTCGATGAACACCACTTCGGTGTAATCTGTAATCATTGCTTTGTTAAACACTCGTTGTTTGGTGATGGTAGCAATGTTTTGATGGTGTATGACGCCGAGCAGTGGAATAAATAAGCTCGTTTTGCCACTGTTTGTATCCCCGACGAGGCATGGCACCTTTTCCTTGTGCTTTTTTTTATTATAGTTCAGCAATTTCAAAAAGTCTTCGCAGAAAATTTCAATATCCACTTCACTCAGACTATTTTCCAGAATCTCTCGAAAGTACTTGGGGTTGGGCTCCTTCGCATGGTCAAAAGGACAGAACGCTCTGGGCGTGATTTGTCCGATGTCTTTTTCGTCAATTGCATGGTMAACAAATCGACGTCCTTTGATTGACCAACAGTAGCCATCATTCACCTCGATGAGGTCGTAATTCACATTTATCGGTCGGATGACTTCACAAAAGGGGTCGGACAGGATATCAATCACCTTCTTCATGTCCTTTAGGAGGCGCGCCTTGAAATCCTCATTGGCTGCYAGAATGTTCACAAAAGGTCTGGGGTCACACTTGTACGAGTAAGTGTATTTTGATTTTTCCATGTGCTTGTATATTTTACCACGATAAACTGCATAGCCTAAAGTTTTCATGGCGATCCCGATGTCGTTGATGAGCACTGTGAGTTGGTCACAAAACCTTTGGGATTGATCTTGATCCTCGGCAGACTCYTGCGTCTTGCTGGAATTTGATTCCTCAAAGCCAAATCTGTCGATGTT